TAGTTCTTTATGAGCACATCCTTATGCCAAATAGTATTATCTTCTTTGCCATGAAATTAACCACCAAGATGTGGGACCAGCTGCAGCTGATGTGATAGTGAAGACAGAGACACAACCTCTAGGACACCACCAGCATGGAACATGCATAATCAGCAGTAAGAGTCAACACTTAAGCAGCTACAGAACTCACCAAAACGTGATGCAGGGATTCGGGTATTACTGAGAAACCTAATCCAGATCCAAATTGGAAAACTTTGTTTTAAAAGATGATGTCTGAATTCTATTAACCCATCCTTGGGAGAGAAGATCTGTCTGTACTGGAAAAGTCACTCGAGCCTGCAAAGACATGACTGTTTCGCTCTAGCTCATGTTGCAAACACAGTGAGAATACTGAGCACAGGCTCACAGCATGGGTCTGCAGAGAGCTTGCAGATTTTTGCCCAAACTGACAATCTGGGGGACAGCCAGCTTGTGACTCTTCAGTCATACCATATGCAGCCAAACATTTCTAGTTGGGTACCCCTTGCTGGGCTGATAGCTCATCACCTCCTAGGGATGGATAGCCCAAAGGGTTACACTTCTACACAGTGAAAAAAGAAAAAAAAAGAGGCAAGATAGCATGGCTTGCTCAGGTAGCATCTGCAGGATACCTAGCTCCATCTCTTGGAGAAGGAATCACACCAACAGCAAGATGCTGTTACCCACTGCCTAGACTCTCCAAAACATCCACAAATCAGAGCGAAGACCAATTGCTGATCATTGAGAAAATAAATGCTAGGGAGACACTCAAAGGGTCAGATTCAGCACTGATAACATGAGAGGACTGCACCAGATGATCACTTGTTCAAATGCATCACCAGCACTGCTAACTGCTTCAGCAAAGAGCAAGGATTTCTGCCTGGAGAAAGTCAGTCCTCAGTTTCACCTCTATTACACAAAGCAATCAAGGTTGGTTTGGGTGTTTTTCCGCTCCACCTCTCAGGGAAGGCCATTGCTTCAGGCCATGCTTGGGCTGGGTGAACAGCATTCTGCCGCTTTATTCAGCTATCTTTGCACATCCTCTCCCCCACTCTGCAAGATGCAAGAGACTGAAGAGGTATCCCTAGCACTGCAGCTTTCACGCTGAATTTTTTATATCCACTCCAGTGGGATTTCAAGGAACAAAACAGGTCCTCCCAGCTCCTAGGATTTGATTGTTTTCTGTGAGGAAACTCCAAGTTTTTCCATGGATGCCTGCTGAGAGGGATACCAGCACTCCACCCAAGCAGAGCTGAAATGTGCCAGGAGAGCACCCACCTCCTCTCTATTATCCATCAATCTCTGGAAAGCAGCACAGTCCTTCCACGGTGTAGGCCTGGAAAGGGAGTTATGGCTTGGAGAGCACAAACATAGTGCTTTCCAGTTCTGGGTATCACTCTGAGAGGCATTCCTATTGCTGTTACATTTTCTGTGCTTGTGTCTCCAATCTTCGTTTCCTACTCAACAGGACAGTGCCTCCCCTCTCTGAAGGAAGATGCCACACAGATTTTACTAAGACCAATTTCTCCTAGTTATCACTTCTCACACACACACACCAAGTATAAGAACCAGCACAGACACTAAAACCCACTTTTGGCTTGGCTCTGGCAGCGTGGAAAAATAAAATCACCAGCAGATCAGCCAAATAACCAGGTGGGAGCAGTAAGGACAGAGGCAGGAGAGACAAGGTACTAAACCTGCCCAATGCTCCCAAGCGCCTCGTTATGTTGATTTATGTTTAGCTAATTGAGAAAATGACTCTAACTACACAATCCAGGCCCTAATTCAGAAAGGCCCAAGCTTTTTAGTGTCTCTACCTGCATCTTAAAAGGCATGATTTAAACCCTGCAAATAACAGGCTGCCAAAGGCAAGGATTTGAAGGATCTGATGTTCTGTCATGCCGAGGGGGTGAGGCTTGGCTAACCTCTCTGGTTACTTGGTCTTTCCCCACTGACGTACAGGTTTGCTGCTGGGACATAAATCAGGGTAAATGATGAAGGAAACCAGTCTCGTGCCCCATCAAAGGAGCCAACACTCGCTTTAATAGGACCATGCAGACAGGCCTAAATAGGGCACTTAACAAGCATGTGGTTTCCATTATACCAGCCCACATCTCTAAGCCCTGCCTGCATTGCCACTGGCAAAACCCTTTGTCCCTTGTACCCACACCTGCCTATATGCACAGAGTTAAAAAAGGGACTGTGATACAATACCAAAGTGTCAAACATAAAATTTCTGGGCTGCATCAGGCCTGCAGAAAAAATTTATCTAGCTCTCAACCATAGTATGAACCTTTACAGACAGCAATGGCATGCATTAGAGCAGAGCACAGAGATGTCTTAGCTAGTATTATCCCAAGCCTCCACGTCTACACAGAATCACAATCGTACTAAACTAAGACCAAGTGCTACTCACAGATCCCCACACAAGTTGAGTCTGATAAAGTAACAGGCCTCAGGCTGGGACAATCCATATTGGGTTTTCATTCAAGTTTGGACCTTTACAGAGAATGGAAAGTCTACAGATCCTACAGTCCTAAGCAAAAAATGCAAAACAATGGGTGCCAGCACAGAGGGCAATTTGGAAGTGCTCTGCCCCTCTCGATAGATCTAGAACTTCTCCTGAATAGGGTGACTTTCCTATCAGCAATCCCATCTAGCATGTTCTTGATACTGCTAGTCAGGAAAGGCAGTACACCAGCTGCTCTTGCTGGTCCATCCTACTCTGTCCTAATTCTCTTTAGGTGGGATAAGGGCTCAAAGCAAAGACTTCAGAATGTTGCAGAAGGATATTAAGGGAGAGACATGGCTGACTGAGAACTTAAATCTCTACCAGACAGCTACCCTAAGATGAAGCCTATCGAGAGCTCAACTGGTTGGATATATAATCAAACTGGGGACTGTCCACGTGTTTTACACCACACACTAGATATCCATGGGAACCCTAGACTGCTGGAGTTAATGCTATTTTGTCTGAGCCGTGACCATCTGTGCTCACTTAAACATTTCTTGACAGAGGAAGGAGCATTAATCCCAACATCCTGGCCAAACTGCAACATGGGCAATTATATTGTACTCCTTTGACACTCTCACAGTGGCATACATTGGTGTTTTCCACTCCTTCCCATAGTGGAAATGCTGTAGCCCAACACAGAAATGGCTGCACTGCCACAGGAGAAACCAAATCCCCTGTGCTGAGCCCTACAGTGGTACTGTCAGATATCACTCAATTTTCCCTGCCCTGGTGTTCAACCCCAGCACGTTTCATATTTAGACTTTTACCTGCACAAGCAACTGGCCCTCACTTAAAAATCTGCCTGCCTGCTCTTGGCTTCATCTGAATTTTGCAGTTCTCCACTTTTCTGAAGAGGTGCAACATGCTGAGCGGACAGTGCACCTGCCTTTGATGCATTCTAACAACAGCAGAGTCAAATGTAATAAAACATGTTGACCGCTGCTAAGGTAGAAAAGGCTTTTGTTTGAAGAGCTTCAACTCCAACTGTTCTGTTTCCTTCAAGGAAAAAAAACAAGAAAAAAAAACACCTCAACTCCTCTGTTGCACCAAAATCATCTCCTGGCATTTCTGACCAGCACACATGTTGTTACAATTATGACTGGACTGCTTGGCTCCGGCATAGGGGGAATGTTAAACCGGCACACTGGCACCCATCAAAACATTTGCAAATTTCCAAAGTGGAACTGACACCATGGTAGTGGTTTATATCACACGTCAGAGAAAGGCTTCATAACTCAGATCAAACAATTTAACTCTTCGGCTTCCTGCCTAGAGAGAGCAACCAAATGCTAGGCTGCCTATTGTTATTTCATGTGGCCGTTTCATGTGGCGTGCAGCCAGTTCACTTCATTTTGCAAGCTCAGAAGTTAAATACAGAGAGAACTGGCCAGAACTTCGATGAGAGACTAGTGAGAGAACAGAAACTACTGATTCTAACAATAAGTTTCCCAAGAGGCAGAAACAGCACCAGCACTATCAGCATGGTACATGAGAATTTTCCATCTTTTAAGCCTTTCTAATGGATATAAGCTTACTCTGTTTCAGAAAAATCTTATTCCTGAGTACTTATCAAAAAGATCTTTGGATTTCCAATTTTCCACCTTTTTAGATTTGAGGCATTCAGACGATAACCATACTGGTAATAACATCAAGGTGCAATCAGTAGGTCTATTTCAATACGATTAGCCTAGGAGAGACCCACAAATTATAAGCCAAAGTGTATGCATTTGTACCTTGTAAACACCATTACAACTCAAATCTTGTCAGATGCTCTTCTTTATGCCCCTTGATGAGCTGAATATAACCGTAATGAGGAACAGACTTACCTAGTAAGACTTAGGATTCTCTTGAGGAGCAACTAGGGACAGCTGCAAAGGATGGAAACAAGAACAGTACAATTAAATTACTATTACACTTACCAGTAACCAGTTTTGAAAACCATAATCAGGTTGCTACAAGCTGCTCTGCAATTGCAGACAGGGCAAAGTCTGTCTGAAAAAAAAAATGTCACAATTTTTTTCTGAAATACAATCAAATATTTGGTTGTTAGGCCAACTTTTTTTCAGCAAAATATCAGGGAAAGAAGTCTATCAGCAACACAGCAGTGTTTCCTATGCATCTCAAAGGTTGTTTTGGACTTTTCCAACTTTAATCAGTCCTAATCATGAGAGTTTTCTCAAGAAATATTTATCCTCCTTTCCCCTGTGCACGGAGGCACCAGTAGTGATTTTTCACTGCTGTCTCAGACCACAGACAGAAGACAAAACTCCTGCCAAGTTGTATCCTGCCATGTCTTTGCCCCATCATTTTCATACTTTGGAACAGCCTTCTTCAAGGTTTTACTTTCATACAGAGGAAACTTGCCAAGGGACATATCTGATTCTGTCATTTATCACCTCCTGTGGAAAAACAGTGTTGGATATGGGTATTAGTATCAGATATCAAAACTGAGAGCAAACACACCACATAGAAGATGCACTGATTTATTAATAGAATAAAAATGAAATGTAGTGACATATTTGTTTCCACTATTAAAGCCATAGAAACAATTAGTGTCCCATTCATACACTTGATGGCATCATTCAGTAACTCATTCATAAACTCTGACATGTTCAGGTCAGGTATTACAGAAAACATTGCCACAGTGGAAGCAGCTTTCCTCTGTTACAAAGTGGATAGCTACAGTGTCCCCAAGGTTTGCAGCTGCATCAGTCTCTACTGGAGGCTTTCATATGTCCTCTGTTTTAATTCCTGAGACTTTCTCCACCTGGAAGAGTTTTCTAAAGCCTTTCAACAGCAACAGAGAGAAATAGCTCAACTTCTTGTGGGGTACAAACCCACTCTTCAGGCAACAGAATGCATCGAACATTACAGGAAAATGGGCTCAATTCCAATATGCTGTGGGAATTATTCATTACAAGGTCCCTGCTCATTATTAGCATTTTGAGGCAACAGTGACAGAGGAAAATGTTTGTAATGGAACAGTTTTAGTCATAATTCTGTTTTCTTTGTTTCTACTTCTGCATCATACATTCTGCCATGTCTTAAATTGTCACCCATTATTTTTGTTAAATCATAGCTGCTCTGAGTTCATAGAAAATTCATTATCAATATAGAGCTTTGTGTCATCTAGCACTATCTGAAAGAAATAGGAAGCAATAAATAGGAAATACTACAATTAACTTTGCAATTTTCCCCAGTACATGGTTATCTCTTAAATCAGGTACAGGAAACAGTGTAAACTATGAAGATAATTAAAATATGCACTTGGGTTTCACTGGATTAAAACCGTTGAAAACTTATCCCTTATGGATACAAAGGAAGATAGACATCCTATTGCATCTGTCAGGGGACAGACAGAATGTATCTAGAAGCAGAGTAAGTGGCAAAGCTTTCTCCTGTAGATACATATCTCTCGCACACTGTCTGGAACAGGTATTTGTGATACTGATATGCAAAAAAGCCCTTGGAAAAAACCCTAGTGTTTGCCTCCAAGTGTCATATGTGGAAGGTACAAAACCCCATGAAGAGCTGGGCATTAGAATTTGAACCTAAGAGAACAGAACGATAAGGACAGATGGTGAACCCCAAAAGAGGTCTTTCTCAAAAAGAATTAAAAAAAAAAATCCTCTAAAATGAAGTGCGTATTACTGGCACTGCAGAAGCCCAGAGATAACATACAGCCCACAAGCCTGCAGAGAGTATCACATCCATAACCAGCTGGCTGAAAATAGCAGTCATGTAGCAGAGCAAGCTGGGGAGTCTCCTGGAGTCACATTTACTGCCTGAGTCTGGTTGTCCATATGAGAGAGGGATTTGGTACCGGAGTTTTCAGACAGCACAGACTGTTCAGAGAGAGCAGGAGAAGCATCAGCGTGGTCAGCATGCTCACTCTCCTTTGTTGCAATAGTGGGAACTGAGTTTTCTTTAGCTGTCCCAGCACGATTATGTGACTGGCTGGCTTGTCTCCCTGCTTCTGCCTCCTGCTGCTGCAGCATCCGCTCCACCTCTATCTCAAGTTCCAGATTTTCCTCATCTGCCTCCACTTCCAGCTGCTGCATTAACTCCTCCAGCTTCCTGGCCTTGCGGAGCTCATTCTGCTGTATGATCGTGCACAGGTGCTCTGTGAGGTGCTCCTTGATCTCTGTCTTGTGTTGGAGGTCCAGCTTGGCTGCCACGTACTCCGACTCAGCCTTATCATACCGCTTCCTGCAAAATCAGCAGCATTTCTCGTGGGTTAGTTCTCAAAGCACTTTGCAATCTGACACATGGACAGAGACTTTAAGCATCCCTGAAATGCAACGTGCTCTGAATGCATTATACCAGCTGTTTCATGATATGCTGCTACCTTAGTTGAAAGGGGGGAAGGGAGGGGAGGAAACAAGCACGAATGCTTTAAGCCATCTTCTTTTGACACATTGGCCTCCATTGCTGCTACACTGCAAGAGTTAATTTGCTTGTCTGAAATACAGAGATTGAATTGCAAGCAAGCAGTTTTACCGCCAGTTTTAAGAGATGCAACACTAGCAGGAGAAAGAAACCATCAGAAGTTGTAGTGTTTCCACAATTCAAATGACCAACTATCCAGCAAACTGCAACACTGTAAAGCAGTTTTGAGTTTTTCTAGTCCAACCATCAGCACAATGGATACAGATGCTATGATGGTGCTATACATACTTGCACTTGGATCTGATGTAGATGCATACTCTTCTGGCCACCCAGATACACATCCAGAAAGTCACGAACTCCACAGATCAACATAGCATCTGACATCAATAGTGATCACAACTTTTGTGTGGCAACAGATGTAGAATTTCATTGCAAGCATTCCCCCAGCACATACCTCCTGCCAATCTGTGTTTCCTGTCATGGCAAATATAGCCAAAAGGAAATATTCCAAATATTTATTGAGGTCGACGTATCCCGGATATGCAGCACTTTAATAGTTGGTGTCCATGTTAGTGATGTATCTTCAACTACATTCATTGAAACTGTATATTAATTCTGCTTAATTATTAGAGAGAGAGAGATGCAATCTTGCTCATCAGGAATGAGAACAAAACAAGAAAGTCAAGATTTCCCTGGGTCAGGTATCCAAAATGGAAGAGCCAACACTGGTTGGAAGCTTCTGCATAGTCAAACATTTGGGCCAAAATCACATCTTCTCCACATCTTAATTATTAAAATTCCATTCCACAGTAACTGTCAGATGCCATCAACCACATGCTCAGAATTATTTAACACTGCACTTCTTGACCCAGTGAAAAAGATTGGGTTTTAGCCCAAAAATAGAAGCCAAGGACTGAAAAAATTGCTTTCAAAACCACCACTTAAAAGTAAATCAGCTTTGGCTCATAATGTACAAAAACTATAGCACTGTAATTATGTAACTCATGCTTCCAAATCTCTCTCTCACAAAAAGATTTATTAAGCCCATCAAAATCACTGTTTCAGAATTTCATCTCCTTTGTCCAACCAATATCCCCTCTGTTACCCTTACTATAAACTGCTTTCCAAAAGCTGGAGCTGATTGTTACATTCTCTTTTGCTATTAAGCATTTCAAAGAGACACGTTATAAGAAAATTTGGATAAGGATATTTGCAAGAGTGTTTAGCAGTTTCAGAAAGCAGAGTTAAGCCAAAAATACAATGAAATGTTTCCCTCTCAAGGACAAGAAATCCAGCATCCATACACACTCAGCTACTGAAACTGCAGTTAACCTTAGATACTTCAAATGATAATTATGCAACCCCAATCCTTATTTTTCAGCTACTATTGCTATTTTTTTTGAAGACTAATTACCACACTTATTAGCCTGTGGTCGACATACAGCAGAATTCTTAAGTGGAAATAGACGTTTCACACATTGAATCTTGGACCAAAAACCTCAACCAAACATTTCCATTTTATTCAACGACTACATAAACATGCTGACGTTTATCTACTGATGTTGTGGTTTACCCACAGCTAAAAGGGTGTTCCGATTAATTTCTTGCACTTAAGGAACTCATCAGAACCAGAGTGATTAAAGGCACATTGCGAAGGGGAAAGCTTACTTTTTCCTTCCATTTTTCATCCCAGTTCCAAAAGCACTTCAGCAGAATTCCGTTTTAAGTTTAATTGATCCCATAGATTCTAGCAGAACCAGACCTGTCATCAAAAGGCAAGTTTCCCTGAAATGGACTTTCACTTCGGGTTTTTTAAAAAGATCGCTTTTCCCTAAGAAGAAATAAACAACCTTGAAACAATAAAGCAGGGCTTAAGGACAAAGGCACAGTTAAAGCAGTAAGTATGCCTCATGATAGCACGAAGCTGGAAAGCACAGTCAGCAGTCAGAAAACAAACTTCAGTTTCCAGATTCCAAGGGAAAAACGAGGCAATAAAAAGCACACTTTTACCTCAAGGTTTCTAAGCAGACAATCTGAGGGGCTTTACATACACATTAGTACAGCGACCTAACTCCATTACTGCTTCAGTGAGTAGAAACAACATTTGCTCCCTCAGCTCAGGAAAGGCTGTTCCCTCCTCCTCCCTGTCTGGCACTTACCGGGCATAGGAGTAGTCCAGGCTGGCTTGATCAATGCGGTTCCGCAGGATGCCGATGTCAGCAGACACCATGTCATCTAAAGCTTGTAACTCCTTCTGAATCCTTTTCAGCTTCACTGTTTCAGCTTGAGTTCTTTTGGATCTGCAAAAAGGAAGATGTTTTCTTTTTCTTTGCAAGCCTCTTTTCTTGACATAATGGGCTTCATTACATTTGCAAAGCAACTACTATCTTTAAGAGCTACTCAGAAGGCTACTCCTTTATGGTTTAAGACTTCTGATCTTACTTAATATCCACAGGGATGTAAAATGTCTGCTATTAAAGGACTACATCAAAATTATGTAATGATTATAATGAAAGTGCCTAAAATGGATTGTGTACCTTCACTGAGGAAACACACAAGAAGTTGCTGTATCTAAACAGCTCTCAGCATAAGGAAACAGGAAAAGACCTGGTGATTGAGTAAGAGGAGGAAGGGTAGTCAGTCCTACAAATATCTCCTTTCAAAGAAGCCCAGCTAGAAAGGACCAAAAAGCCACCTAACCTAAGCTTGATTTCCCGTTTGTAAAATTATTCCCAAAGGTCCTGGCCAAATCCCAATGAAGTCAATAGAAAGTTTTACCTCAAACACAAAGGACTGCAACCAAGTCTTATGCAACCTTTTTCAGCTCAGCCTGTTCATTCCCAAGTTCTGAAAACTGAATGCTGCTAAGAGCAGCAAGCTTCAGTGGACTTCACTCTCAGGCAAACTAAGCAACTTGCAACAAGATTTTACACCAGGTCACTTTGCAACCATCACTCTTCCTCAACAGCAAAATTGTGTTTTTCAGCCACTGCTTTACCCCAAAGAAGGGGTAGGAAGTGACACCACCTCTCATTTGATCAGCTGATGCAGGTGAACAGAAGCAGAAATCTTTCAGTACTACTTAGAGCCTGAAGACCTTTAAATCTCAGATGTAGCTCCTTGTCCACTACCTTCCACCTCTTCCTCCCTCTCCTTATGCCAGCCTGGTGGCATTGTCCCATAGTGACTCTGACCACACTTATTTGTTGCTTAGAAAAGGCAAAAGAACAAATCTTCAGAACATCAAAGAGAATCTTCAGCACAGTACTGATATTAATTCATCTTTACTACTCAAAAGCTTCAATGGGCAGAACATGACACTTCCCTGGGAGAGAACTGTGAGCCAGAAAGCTGTACATCACCTTCCTTGATTCAGTGCTATCAGCTGCTCCAATATTCTTCCTCACAAACCTTGCCTTACTTGCAGTTTTACCTATCTTGCTGGACAACACTATCTTCAAGTCTGGTCACCGGAAAAACAAGAGCTAACAACTCTAAGAACACATGAATTTCTATGTATTTTCATCAGCCAAGTGTAAAAAACTTCATAAAGTTTGATAGTTTTCTCCTTTCAACACTTCTCACATACTAGTAAGTCAGAGTCAAAATGCTTAATCGCTTGTGGCAAGCATGTAATCACAGGGAACCGTCTGTCACAGCTGCTAATTTGTGGAGCGGTACATGGAGAGCAAAGAGAGAGGGAAAGAAGGAGATTTTAAAAGAAGATATGTAATTGGTTGCAGATTGAAAGTAATCTCTTCTCAGCCTCAGCCCACATTGCAGCATAGGCCCTTACCTCTCAGCAATAGCTTTGGCCAGAAGTGCCTTCTTGCGTTTATTCTTCTCTTCTATCAGCCGTTGCTCTTGCTGGAGGATCTCCCACCGTGATTTTTCCTGCCTGCTCATTGACAAGAAGATCAAAATTGATAGCAAGTTCAATTCGCTCCCTGTCCTCCACACAGCACCGATATTAAACATCATGTTTCCTGGAGCAAACTCCAAATAGACTGAAGGAACAATAAACAATTTTCTGCAAGAAGTCACTGAGATCAATAAACATTTTCAGATGAAATGTGCTGATCAGAACACAAATCATCACGTGCAAACACACTGCTGGCTCCAGGACTGCTGGAAGAAAGAGCATTCAACACTTCCTCAGAATTGGATAAGATTTTTCATATAAAGGTTGTGCTTTACCACTGGGTAGAAGCAGTTCCAGTCTTCTTATTAGCTGCTATGAGTTATCTGTTCAGTTTGCCAATGCAGCCTCTTCTTTTGAAACTGCTTTTTCTTATCAGACAGACAATCTGTCTGCTTTATAACAGAGCACTCAGACAATTAAACTGATAGAAAGAAGAGCTGATAAAAAATACAATGAAATTGATTAATGAGGAAAACAAGATTTTCCTTTTATCACTGTGGAAAGTTACATGGCTTCCATTTCCTAGGCCACCACAACTACTGAGAGATATAACTGATCCCAGAGGATGGAAGGTGAGGTTCTTGAGAGGGGACAACCTGTGTGAACACAACTGGGTAGGATTAAGAGGAAACAAAACCTGCTTTGTTGCTTTTCCATGCTACTTTTCCATCCTTCATGCCTTCTCCTGAGAAGTCTCTGTTCCAAGGTCTTGCTCAGTTTAACAATGCCAAAATAACTCAGTTATGTTTATTTTAAAAACCATTTCTGCACAAGAATATCTCTTCAGACTTCTCACCATCCTATTCCTAAAACCACACACTGAGAAAAATGTTGGACAAGGTTTAAATTGGACTGCACAGGCTTGAATAACTTCAGCAGATTCGTGGGTGGCTGTGGCACCTACATGTCATTTGCTCCCTACACAGCAAAAAGCTTCTCTGCTATGCTTCAATTACCTTCCCCACACAGAAAATGTATTTCTCACCACCAGCAGGAAGGAGCTGAACAGTCAGTACAGCCGGTGAGCACAGGAATCACTGGGTACTGCTCTGTCAAGTGCAGCTATTCTAGTGAAGACACTGCTCTCTGCAGCTGAGCCAGGTGACTGCACAGCCAGCAGCTGCTGCCCCTCATGATGTATCTGTGAGAAACAGGACATCCTGCCACCGCCCTTGGAACTGGACAGAATCCTCTCCAACGTGAAGCACTTTTGTCCCCTCTAAGATCCTACAGGCAGTTTTATCCAGGCAAGAGAACCACATGCAGAACTGTGTGCATTCAGGAAAAAAAAACCTCACACTTGGATACAGGCAGGAAGAAAAACACAAAAGTAAAGACAAGTCATCTCATATTAGAAATGCCTGCCCTCTGTTATATCTAGACAACAGCTTCCTTCTATAGGCTACTGTATGTATTCTGGATGATGAACAAAGTAACTGCCTCATGCAGTCAGACTCACAGCTGCATTCCATACTTTTTCCTTTCCCTCTCATAGGTACCAGTCTGATGTTTTGGGGAGAGACAGACACCCCACTATGGGCTGATAAAGTGAGAACTCGAATTGTGAAAGATAGAGAATTCTTTAAAAACGGAAATTTTTATCTCCTTACCAGGAGATATTAATAAATCCACAGTAATATTGTGATTTCTGTAACTCTGTGTTCCCATTCACAATGTATCCACTTTCAAAAGGTACAGCTACTTTCCATTGTGAATGCTGGCTCGTCTATGCAGTATGATCTGGCTGAGATTAGATCGAGTGGGACTCGATTCACAGTCCCACTGCCACAGGAAATTATTCAGACAGTCACTGTGCTTTTGTGCACGGATTACGTGACAGAATTTGGTACTGAATCAGGTCTAACCCAAGTGACTAGGGATGAAAAGCAAAGGCTCAAAGCAGAGGAAGAAAACATTATCTCTCAAACCTCCCTATTAAATAAAGGAAAGTTCAACATTCGATTTCATTTACTGTAAAACAAAAGAATAAATCCATACAGAATAAAATCAACCCCCCAATTTTACCAACTTACTAACAATTCCACTTTCTTTTTTTCCACTTTGGTGCTCGTCTTTGAAGTGAGGTTCTGGGCACTGTCACTGCCATTACAAGGACCTGCTGGCCTTGCCTCCTTCTGCTGATCTTTGCTGTCATGTTGCCTTTCACCTGCTGAAGGACGATGAGGTGCTGGCACGGGCTGCTGAGGATTACAAGGTTTATGTTTTGGTGCAGACAGCAACTGCTCAGGAGGAACAGAGGCTGCTCCACCCTGCAGTCCCAGCTTCTGGCATTGCTGCTGGAGAGCTTTTTCTCGCTGCAGTTGCTTCCAATTCTTATTTGCAGGGTGGGGACGACGTGGCTGCTCCGGGGGTTCAGATAAATCTATCAATGAATGAGGGGGAGAAAGAGAATTAAAAGCAGGCCTCAAGAACAAACACAGACTGTAAACTAAGCAAACAAACTGGGGCAAAACCAACCTAAGGACAAGACACATCTGGCTGTCAGGGAAAGCATCCTGAGGAAAATCCAGGAGCTTGGAAATGTTCTGTTGATCTATGAATCGGGAGTTTTAGGGCATGCAAGCATCCAAAACGAAGGGAGGGAGGAAAAAGGGATTTGCAAGGGGGAATACAGGAAGAACTTCGGGGAGGAGCAGAGGTGAGCCCAGGGGAGAGCCAGATGTAGGGCCACGGGAGGTCCGGTGGGCAACTCGGGCTTTATAGAGAGAGGGATAGTGAAGACGAAGGCGGGCGGAGAGATGCACGAGCGGGCCAGAGGACAGGCAGGCGTAGGCACAAGAGATCGGGCTGAGGGACGGCTAGGAGCGCCGAGGGCCTGCTGGCTGCACCACACCGCACCGCGCCCGGCCCCGCCGCTCCCCGGTGCCCAGCCTCGAGCCCGGCCGCACTCCGTACCTCGCTGCAGGCGCCGCAGCTCCTCCTGCGTGAAACCGGCCCAGCCCTCAGCACCGGCCATGGCGCTTCCTCCTTCCGCTCACGGGACACCGAGCCACGCAGGCCCCGAGGCTGCCCCGCCGCCGCCGCACCGCCCGCAGCAGGCGAACGCCGCGGACAGCCCCGTCCGGCAGCGCGGGGCTTCCATGGCGACGCGGTGGGGGCTTCGCGTTTCCATGGCGACGCGGTGGGGGCTTCGCGTTTCCATGGCGACGCGGTGGCGCAAGATGGCGGCCTGAAAGGATGCGAGAAGCAGGCCGCGGAGGGCAGGCCCAGAGCCCCGTATGCGGGACTCCTTTATAAAGCAGCGTCAAAGCAGGAACACCACGGCGCCCCGCACATCTATAGATTGTAGTTTGGCAGTTTTAGTGAGATATTTTTCTCTGCAGCGTCTCAGAATTGTGTTTGTAGGGGCACAGAAAGCACATCTCTGGGCCCCGTGCAGTAAGGGAGATGTGAGCCCAGGGCACGTGTTCTCCGCCAAATAATTGCGGGGACCCAGCTTACACAAAGTAATAAAGAAATGTGAGATTAAACGTGAGAAATGATTATTTCAGCACTGACAGAGTCAGGCATCCATTACTAGGAGTGATGGGCTCCTGATGTAGCAGCATTCTCTCTTTAGCCATGAAAGTATGCATGTTTTCCAGCCAACCCAAACTCTAGCGGCTGCTTGAAGCCTACCACAGGTCTTACAGATGAACCTACCTGCCTTTGGGAGAACATCAGGTAGAACACATAAGCCTCAGGTTTAGCTGAAGCAGTCCAGTGGGCTGGAGGCTTAAATACATCATCAGCAATAAAAGGGGGATGTTTTTCAGTGCCTAACAACATCCCTTGTGGTTTCCAATCTGCAAGGGATCAGTCAAGCTCTGAAGAATTGCTGTCTTCTAGAACAAATTCATTATTTGATGGCCACGCATGAGTTCACAATTTGTTGCGGCAGCACTTCTAACTGTTCCTGCATGACTAACACATCCCATAAATACCAACCCTACTCAGGGGAGATGGAGTCCTGGACTGTCACTTGCAGGCAGGTTTCAAACATTTCTGCTGGGATTTGGCCTTTGGGGAGCAGACACATCACTATTTTTCACCAGCAGCTTGGTTGCAGGCCAGGGTGAAACAGAGACATGGCAGACATCCAGTGGAGAAGAAGCAGAGCCTGTTTATCTCCATTCTGTCATAGACATCACGGGGTCTGTTCACGGTCATCACCAACCAGGGGCTTGAGGCTGCAGGATGGCCCCTTGGGCTGGATTACAACTTGCTCTGGTAGACTTTACCAAGCACAGAAGAGATCGAATGAGAACAATAATCTTGTCTTGACTCACATGCTCTCAAAATCCAGGAAGCCCAGATAGCAGAACCAGGTGTCAACTGGAATTTTACGATGCATCAGTGTTGGCCAGCCTCGTAGGACACTTAATTCCCTTGTAGATGCCTGTACTGGAGTCAGAAATCTAAATCTCTCTTGATACCTAAATCCCTGCCATGGGCTGTGCTGAAACCACAGGTACCAACTGAACGAGCCTCATGAAACACTAACTCCAGACCTCATTCCTGAACCTTAGTTCTTTCTTCTCTTCCAAGTTTTAATGCTGCAAACAAAAATGAAGCACCATATTCTCTTTATTGCAGCAGATATTCCAGGCATAAAACTCCCATGTGTTTTATAGAAAAAGTATAAAGACTTTTGAGTTGTTAACACAATGCTATAGGCAAAGCAGCAATCCGTTTTAACAGTTTCCATCAGCCAAACGTTTAATTACCAGCAGTTGGGCCAACCTTCTCCAGGAACAATTATAACCTAGTGAAGTCATTTCAAAGGGCATTTACCAGCAGCAGATTCAGAAAATGGAGGCTGTTCGTGTTCCCTGGCTGATTAAAGGCCTGTGAGCTTAACATGAAACTTGTTTGACACCTACGAAAAAGTATTTTCTAAGCAAACGCGGGTTGGACAAGGCTGAATGAAGAGAAAATAGAAACCTTATTTTCCATTCCTACTTTGGGATAGAGATGATGGACAACCCAAACCATACTGAAAAAAGCAATAACCTACACCTTCCTTTTACACGTGGGGCCATATTAGACTTCTACATCATTCTGTGATTCAAGAGCTGCTACCTCATGAGCAGACCTGGTTATGTCCATGCCTTCTGTGTCTGTTTTCTATTGGTCTGTTTAGCCTACTGTCTCCTGAAGCAGCAAGTAGCATGAGATCATATATTTTTTTTTCTGAGATTCCCAGACCATGATGGACTTGTCATCACAGACTGGCAACTTTGACTCTCTAGGGCAGACCTCAGGGTCAGACCTCAGGGTCAGTGCTCAGCTGACATTTCAACCCAGGATGAACACAATTTGTACCAGGACCTTACTGAAACTGCATTTTTGGTTTTCAGATCCAAATCACCACGTCCAGCCAAAACAGATTAATGTGTGAGCAAAGAGCAAGCCCGGCCTTTTGAGAATTAATTTCTCCTTTAAAAGGTGCTTTTCACATTCATGCTATGGAATTTTCTTTTGCTAATTTCAGCTGTACACTCGAGGAAGGTTCTGAACCTGAGATAAATAATTAATTCAAGTAATTAACTTCTCAGCATGGCACTGAAAACAAGAGTGCAGTTGAGGCCCTCCTCCTCTGCAGCCTGGTGAAGGCAGCTAGGATTTTCCCATGGTCCAACAGACTGTGGATTAGATTGCTGAGAGCATAGCATCAACACTGATCTCTGCGTTCAGCTTTTTTTTTTTTTTTTTTTCTGGCTAAATACCCCCAAGGACTCTCCATTAAGGAACACCAGACTCAGAAACCAAGGTGGAAATCAGTCTCGCTGAGCCCTAGGCCCTGATCCAAACCAGCATGCAAGCCTGTGCTTAACCTCAGCCATGTGCTTGAGCCACAGCCTTTAACCAAGCTGCACCAGGGCAGTGCCAAGATGCCTGGCTCAGCACCAACATACCCCTAATCCAGCATTAGGAACTTGGAGCTCAGCATGTGGCAAGATAATCACTGTATTACAGGACCTCAGCTCCGGGATAGGCTAACAGAGGTGCTGCGTGCCCTGATCTGCCTTGGCCTCATCTTCCCAGCATCTGTTCTCCTAAACTGGAATCATATTAGCACCATCGTTTCTGGCGCTACAGCAGTCTTGGTTTTTTGGAATTTCTTAGAGGGAAACAGAAACCCACTTATCTAAAGAGCTAACAGGTGAAAAAACTACACTGGAAGACTGCTTCTTAAATCATAGAAACCAGTGGTTTTCAACATCACTTGATTTGTGGATCTTTATGCATTTTGTTGTGAAGAGGTACACTTTTACATAGGAAGTTTAAGGCTATAACCTCGTCTCCTCTGAGCCACCATTCACAGAGCCCTCAGGGGCAACCCTGTGACCCCTACGGTTTGAAACCACAGCTATTTTACTTTACAAGGGCCAAGTTTTACTTCTCAAATCTCAGTGAAGAGGGGGCAGGTATTCCCAGGTTTCTCTTCTCCTTGCAGGATGCTGCAGGGCTATGGGGAGAGCAGCTCTAGAGCAAAGGAAAGTCCTGGAGCAGCCAGGGGCATGGGACGTGAAGATGGCGTGCATTCTAGTTTTAACCTTTGTTTTTTCTCCTTCAGAAAAGTCCTAGTTTCAAAAAATAAAATCTGAACCGAAAGAAAGCTTAGTTTTTGCAATAAGTTTTTTAAATTTTTACTTATATGTATATATATTAAAAAATCCTACATATACTTCTCGGTAAATTAAAATTCATCCTGAACGTAAATTTACCAAAGATTATAAATGTACCACTTTGGGTTGCAAAGCCAGAGCTGAGCAGTGAAACAAGTGGAACACCATAGCAATTATTGCTATATATTTTCATACTGCTGAAGAAATATTTTTGCAGCTAATAACTTCTTAAAAGTATTTAAGTATCTTTTAATGTCTCCAAGTGAATACTTTTTAAAAGCCATGTCAAATATTTCAAGATGTTTCTTTAATTTTCCTAACTGTATTGCTCAATGGATGCCATAATTTAAACACTTGTATAGAAATAATTAGAAAGCAATTGCTTTAATTTTAACCACTTGTGTTAAAAATTGTACTCTTAATTGTCAAAACAATTGATAAAACTAGAGATTTGAAAATTGTGAAATGTTTGTTAGTTTTGGCATAGAATGAGTTATTAGAACCACTACACTAAGAAAATTGAATTCCATCAAACAAACTGATTGTTGTTACATGCCCAAGTGAACAAACTGTGGTTGTTTAGTCTCGATGGGAGACAATTACAGGGAAGACGACATGATAGTAGCTTTTAAATATATAAAATGCAGCTGCAAAGAAGTCTGGGGTGGATAAGTGGAGAAGAAAGCTGGATGTGAGGAAGCACTTCCCAGCACTTAGGGCAGCAAAGTGTTGAGAATCAGCTTCAGAAGAGCACAGGGTCTCCACCACCAGATATTTTTAAGAATAAACATCTGTCGAACAAGACAGAGCAGAGGTCAGTGCAGTCCTGGGATAACGAGATGTGGTTTTCAGTGGTTTCAGATGTGTGGATCCCCACACAAGCTGTAGAGGAGATGCAGATCCATAGATGCCCCATGGGTCCAGGCATCCAGGCTGCTGTACAAAAATTTGGACCTCTCTGTGCTGAATGACTGTTGGCAGCCCACTGGTATTCAGTCTTGTTCCCATGACCAGGATGCTTCCCACACCATTCCCACCTCCTCCTTCAGCTGTCACAACCTCATCACTCCACTCACAGACACGGCTGTGCCATCCCTGGTGGCAGCCAGCTTTGCAACAGTCAGCATGGGAAATCATCCTCTTCTAGTGAGAAGACAGAAAGATGGATGTTTGCCAAACCCAGAGTCAGCAGTAGACCCTTATACAATGTGAAAATCACCCTGAATACCCCTCATTGCCTTCTGACTACTTGCAGAATGCCCATTCATGACCAACAAGTCCAAAATGAGTTAGGGTCACTCACTTCACGCATCTCCTTCCAGTTACATGTCCTGGAGATGCTGTCTCCTTACCTCTCCTAACTTGACACCATCATAACTCAACAACCTGGGGTTACACAACTCCCAGTTGTGCGTAAGGTGGTGGTAACTCTCAGGGAGCAATGTGGGATCCTGCTCCCATCCTGCTGTACCCCCACAGGATACTGGTGTATATAAATGTAGCAATTAGTCACCTTGCACTGCTTTGGCTCATTTTTGGCCCATGGGGCTGAAAGAAAACTCAAATAAACAGCTCCATCCAAGGTTTGTGTAGGTTCCCCAGGCCCTAGCAAAAAAGGATTGAGGATGCCAGCTAAGATTACATGTCCAATGCCAAACCTTGATGGTTTCTCCACTGCAAGCTCAAAACAAAACAAAACAAAACAACAGAAAAACACAACAACAAAAAAGGAGCCCGCAATCTTCAGTGATGAACTGCCATTTACTGAGATGGGATTTTGGAGGAGGTCTTCAAAGGACTGCTGAAATGCAGAGAGCTTGGTTCTTACCAAGGCTCTAGCAGGTAACTTCCTTTTATGACTTTTTATGGAAAATCATCCCTCCAAGGCAGGAGCTGCCTTCCAAAATGTTCTGGTAGAAGCTGCTTTATAGCAGTTTCTCCAAGGGAAGTGTTTTCTTTATTTAAAGTCCTGGCACAACTGCAGGCCTGCCTGACACCCCCAAAGGCTTACCAGGGCCACATATGTTAATGAAGATTTCCAAATCTTCATTAGTTAGCAGCAACTGCAAGTTCTGAGCCTGAGCTATAAAGACTGTATATAAGCAGGCTGAAGGCCAGGGAGGCTTAGCAGCTCTTTGATGAGGAATCCAAGATCGCTGGAGAGAGATCTGCACCACGCCCTGGCTGTGAACATGGATGTCACAGATCTCAGCTAGCAATAAATTATCGGTTCAGTAAGGAATGCTCTAATTAAAATAGGGGCAACCAAAATTAGACCCTTTACTGCTGCTGCAGTAAGGTGAAAACAAGGATGATGGGTTTCTTCTGGTTGCCAAAGTAAAAGCATTGGTGGAAAACCCTAGTTTTGGAGCCAAGGTGAAGACGAAGTATTTTTAGTACAATCAGAAAAACTCATTTCATTTTGGGTCAAGGAGAAATATTCTGCCTGACCAGTAACAAAATACTCTGGTTTGCTTGGAGACTATTTAATCTTAAAAAATAAAATAAAATAAAATAAAATATCTATAACCCACAATTTCTTCTGTTAAATTAAGGTCCATCTGAAAAATGAAGAAAACCTGTCTTTAAACTCAGTGATCTTCAGTAAAGCAAACAGCTTCAGCTTGAGAATGCTGATGTGAAGCATTTTGATATTTAAGGAAGGAAAGGACATCTATTGTTTTGCCTTCTCGTTGACTGACTCCAGTCCAGAGATGGGGGTTATTTTGGTTGCCTTCCTTTTCCCAGGAGATTTCATTTTTTAAACTCATGTAACACTCTCTTCTAATTCAGTTTGAAGTACAAATGACCAGACTCAGTAAGGCTCATGAGAACATGGTTGAGCTGCCAGTTTGCACAAATATCAGGCAAAACAGTTCCATTTCTCCCCTGCACCCCGCCGTTTGGCATTCTGGATTTCCTTTGAAATGGTACCTGGACTTCAGAGGAAGCATGGGGTCCTCAGGAGCAGCCACCCCCAAACACACACAGCAAAACCATCCATGCCTGCATGCTCTGCCATGTAACCTGCACACCACAAAAATTCAGATGCCATCTTCAGTCCTGCAAAATATTAAGCCAGGCATTTAAGATTCACCCAATGATTAAGCATGAGCAGCTTGTAATCGTTTCCAGATTCCTCTCCTAGCAGGAGGAAAGGCTCCGCAATTCCTGTCTGCGTGCTCAGTGTAGCAATGCACTCCCAAACAGACTGAAGATGAGTTGAAGAGGATAAACTGATACCCTGAGCTTTGCAGCTGAGACCAAGCCAGCATTACCTTTTAATCCAACATGATTAGCTTAGAAAAGCAGGATTATTTCGCCAGCATGCATCAGGGTACTTCCACATCATCTCTGTAGCAACACCTGTGCACCAGCAACTAGAAACCCCCTTACATACACATGTTGAGATTCAGTCTGCATTTTTTCATCTGGCTTGGGAGCATTAAATGAAGATCAACTGTTGAAATCAGCCTCGTTTAGGGAAGTAGACTGTCTGTGCTCACAGACAGGACTTTTGTCCTCCAGGTTTTATAGAAAGCCCCCAAGATTGCAGCCTTTCTGCAGAAAGCCAGGGAGCATCTGGATCCTCCCCTTCATGCCAATTCAGCAGTATATTTTCCCCCAGACTGCTCGGCCATGAAAAAAAAAAAAAGTGATCTTTGAAAACTTGCTCAAGGCTTCAAAACCCTTAGCAGCCCCAGCCTGAAAGCAAACTCAGGTCTCCCCACTGCCTTTGAACACAGTGGGGATCTGCTCCAGCAGGTTAGCTCTCAGGGGCCACGTTGCTCTCCGCAGCTAAACCAGACAACATGTGAAATGGCAAGTACCTCTTAATTTTTATTATTTTTAACAGGATAGTTTAAAGACTATGTTTTTATTATTATTATTACTATTTTACTGGCAAATTTAGTGTGCTGCCTTCCCTCCTTAATGAAAGGAACCAAGGGCTGGTGCTCAGCTTCTGCCTTCTAGAAGCAGCCCCTGCAAACCTATTGTGAATAACCATAATCTCACCTCCCCAGAGCAAGAAAGCAGCTTTCATCAGCTCAAGCCATTTTTTCTTTTCTTGCCTCTTTACCTTCACGCTTTCTCCAAGGTTCCATTTATCTCCAAGCCCATGTCTGAGACATGGACCGATGGCTTGCACCATCCCTTCATGTGCAAAAAGAGAAGGGTACTGTTCCTGAATGCATTCTTCAAGGAGATCATCTCTGATCAAGGGAGAGGGGTTCATCACTCTCATTCATCACCTCCTTAGCCTGTCTCTTTGGGGAGGTGGGAAAGGAACATCAGCACAGAAGAGCAGAGACTATCCATTGGACTCATGCAATCATCCAGAGATTTCCCCTCTGCAGGCTGAGCTGTGTCTGCTCCCTCCAAGCACCATCACCCATGGGAAAAAATCACACCACAGGAACGAGGGGCAGGGTTTCAAAGTCAGGACAGATTTGCCCCTCACCACTAATTCGCAGCTCCCCCCCCCATGGGCTGTTGCAGCATGAAAGCCATTAACATTTAAAAATACTTGCAGGAATAGGAAGGGGAAAAAAAAAATGGTATTTGCGGAGGCCCATTCCTCAGCACACTTTCATGTGTGCCAAAGTTTGTTGGCATGGCTCTGAGTTTGATAGGGAACATCTGGGCTGCTGTTACTGCCTGGATGCTGGCTGAGGGCAGCAAACAAAGGGGGTTTGTGCAGGAATGCTTGAGGAGGGGCGGTTCAGAGACAAAACAAGAATACGCAGAGAAGAAAGCCAAATGTACACCCCAGTTTTTTCCAAGGGGATACCAGCCTCCCCCTTCCTTATTTTTCTCCCCAGAGCATGCTGCAGCTACAATAGCAAGCAAGGCTCCAACGTGGCTCAGTACCTCACTACCTGTGATCAAGTCAACTGCCTAAGGAGGTGCTTGAGAGATCCAAAGAGTAGACATGTACATT